GGTTTGAATTTGCAGAACTTCGCGTCAATTTTGAACGATAAAGTAAATAAATATAAAAAAAATGGATATTCGAACAAACAGCCAATCACGCCCAACTTATTTACTATTTGCATTTCGGCACACCTGTCGTCAACTTTCATAGGTAATTCGCTGTATGGAAACAGTTACTTTCGTATACGGTCGTGGGAAATAATATATTACATAACGAGCACGGAAAGTGATAAATAACCCACAAGCGAGAAAGTTGTGCACGAGGCATTAGCCGAGTGCAGGCAATACCGCGTGTGCGTTAGACACTTTCCTACAAGTTTTGTACACTATTTTTCCTACGACCATAAATAATATTTTTCTTACGAACATATTTTTTTTCATAACGATTTATTTTTCATAATGGATACAAAAATACGTTGAATAACGATTTATTTTTCATAATGGATACAAAAAAAAAAATACGTTGAATGAAAAAATACAAAACATTCTAGTGTGAATTGTGCGTTAGATTTCTAACACACAGTGCGAAAACAAATCGCACAGGTTTTTGACCTCGTACGATATCGCCAATTTTCGCGCATATCTAATTGTGCGTTATGATCTAGTTTCGTATATAGTCGTAGGAAAAGAATTTTACAGCTCTCGGAATGTGTGTATAGAAATACACATAACTTTTAATACCTCTAAAATGGACCGTTTTAAAGATATGTTTTTTAAGGAATGTGTGTATAGAAAAACACATAACCTTTAATACCTCTAAAATGGACTGTTTTAAAGATATTTTAATTTAAAGTGAAGACTGCACAAGGCTGAAAGCAAAGAGTATAAATTTTGATTGAGTGATATCTACGGCAACGAATGACCATGGTCACATATTTTGCTGTCTACATAAATTTAGGTAGGTTCTTTAAGAATAAAATAATCAGAGAAGTCAAATGTGAAATGAAACATTTCAGACATGTTCACTTATCTTCTTTGGCATACGATTATGAATACTACACCGAATATAATGAGCTCCATGCTCAAGGCCCCGCCTTGAAAAGATTAGAATGAATTGTACTCTAATTTAACATGGAAAATTATTCTCCATAGGTGGAAAAATGATTTTGTAAGAAACTAAAGCAAAAAATCTTCGACAATACATGCCAGAGTTCGTCAGAGCCGGAGTATGACTTTTTCATTTTAGATTTGACAACGTAACATTTTCCCTAAAAGAATCCGAACTTGGTTCAGGTGATATTGTTATTGCTCATATTTCTTCTTGTTTACACAAAACTCCATTTTTGTGGGTAGGTCGCATTACACCCGGCCATTTTAATTGCCGGGGCAAGTGCAGTCTACAGAGATGAACAATGGATCGCAATTATGTGCATATAAGTAATAGAGGAACAGGATATTCTTAAGAGACACTCACAATAGCAGTAGACCTTGTCAGAAGTGGTTCGTTAACAACTTATAAAGCTAGCAAGATATACCAAATACCTAAAAATACTTTTGCTGATCATGGTAAAGGACAAAGAGGTAAATTAAGTTCAAGTTATGGTAGGAGGACAGACTTTACTCCTGAAGAAGAGACATCACTAGCTGACTGTATTCACTGTTTGGAGAAATGGGGGTTCGGAGAAAAGAAATAATACAAATCGTCACCGATTACGTCAGCCTAAACAATATTACAACTCAGTTTAAAAATAAAACCCCAGGCGAAGATTGGTTTTTAAACTTTGAGCGTAGACATAATCTTTCTCTTTCTCGTAACAGGAGTTTCAGACGATGAAGCTGATGTGACATGTTTATGCAAGTTGAAAAATCCATGTGAATATCGGCTGGACGAAAACGACAAATGCTCAATTTGTCAATAGAAATATTTTTTTTATTTCTATGTTATGTTTAAGAATTAAGAAAACTACAGAATAATTATTCATTTCAAATAATTTTTGGTCCGATTCTACTCTCGCATTCTTACTTAAATATTTGAAAACGGATTAACAAACCAGGTAGTTAACCATTTCCTTGAAAACAAGTCTTAGTCACCACTATTACCATTACTACTTCTCTGAAAATTTGTACCTATCAACCGAAATTGAGAGGACTAACCACTGACAAAAATTTCAACCCAAGAGAAAGAAAACTTTTAGAAAGAAGAATTCTTCCATTGAGAGGAGGAATAAAAAAGTAGTGGAGTACCATAAAAAACAACAACAAAAACGAAGCTGTAAAACTCCTGCGAAGAGATATTTTAAATGGTGTACCTTGTATTTGGTATGCAAGAAAATTGCGCCGCATATTTTTGTAAAAGGTTAAAAGATCCAAATTTAATTAAAGAAATATCGAGCGGATTTCTAAGCAAAATAATATACGTCAATAGGTACACTGCTAATCACGGGAAAAGTCTAATAATTTCACAAGTAATATTTGTGAACAGTATCACTCCATTGTTGCCTTTATTAGAGGCAAAACGATTAATTCTGCGCTTAGCAACTCATATCAAGCTAGATGTGCTGCCGCAGTTGTTTCGCATAATACTAAAATGACGAACAGTATTTAAAAAAAAACAATAAAATTATTCACACAATTGTAGGTAAGTTACAAAAAATAACAAAAGCTAGGCTTTCGAGAAGAAATAGGTTGAGAAATAATTTTAAACATGATACAAAAGATACCAAATCGTATGGCGAGGCATCGCAACAGCCCGATATGTGCCAAGAAATGTATGTATAAGGAAGAGGAGAAGGAATATTTACTAAAATTAAGAAAAAAGACTAAGAGACCAAGATGTAGGAGGACAGTGGATGCAAATGCGAAGAAAGATGTTAACAGCGTCAAATTTTGAAAAAATATGTAAATCAAGAAAAACGACAAATACTGTTGCTACGGTAAAACATTTACTTTACAATGTTACCGTCGTTAAACCACGGTATTAATGAAATCGATGCCAGGAGGGAGTTGGAGAAGAAACTAAGTGCTGAAAAAGGGGAAAATACTATTGTTGAACGCTGTGGATTATTTATTGACAGGGAAGTTTTTTTTGGGAGCATCACCAGACGGTATCATTAAAAACGAAGAAATAATTGTAGAAATAAAATGTCGGTATACAGCATTTAAACAAAAATATACACCCGAAGAAGCCATAAAAAAGAAACTAATAACGTTTTGGAAATTTAAATCCGAAGGATTTTCGAAATTAATAAAAACCATGACTGGTTTTATCAAATCCAGGGACAGCTGCAGGTACTAGTAAAATCAAGATCTTTAAAGCAAAGGGACAGAGATGTGACAGAAACAGACAGTATATACGACCATTTATTTCGGTATTTAAATGCAAACCGCTTGCCTCATATTGCAACCACCGTTGGCTAAATGGATATGCAGAGTTGGTTTCAAAAACAAAAAACGTAAAAAAAACGTACTACTTAGTTCGAATTAAAAAATATATTTTTTTAAATGTCCTCTTCAGCTAATAACAATTGAATGTATAAAATATATTAAATTTTTATCACCCAGCAAGAACCACATTTACGTATGAGGACGTTTTGCCAAAAATTAAAAAATAACACGCACAAGTGAATGAAAACTTAAGCCAACTTAAGGAGAATTTTCTCTTCTTCGAGCGTATTCAGTGTCGAGCGAGCCAGACGCGATACGCCGAGGCCGAACGCTGAGGAAGACGAAACATTTCGAGGAACTACAATCCTAGAAAGAAATTGTTTTGTGTTATAATTTATTTCAGTTCGCACCATATTATCAGCTGTTAATAATGCTATTTCCCGCGTCAATTTTAAGTTCGAACAAGCACTTCTGATCGTGATGTAATCTGTGAAAACTACTTGTTTAAGATTTTAAGCAAGTCAGTAAGTCTTATCTTTTATACAGTTGCGGAATTAAAATTTCGAGCAGTATTTTTCTGTCACTTTAAAAAGTTCATTGTAAACTACCCTTTATTGTCATTATGACTAACATTTGACGATTATAAACTTTTCTGTCGGTGACGCAGTCAGTTTAAATTTTTCGCAAAACCAAAAATATGCCAAGAGTTACTCTTTTCAATAAAGTAAGGGTGATAACATGTTACTAAATGATTTAAAAAAATATAAATTAATTTTAATGGATTTGTTTTTTATAATTTTAATTTTTTTATATTAACGGAGTAGTTAGTAATAACTTTCTTACAAACACTTTTTTAGACTCACTACGAAAAATATTCTGGGAGAAACCCAAGCCCCCCACCTCCCCCGCCAACGCCATCTCCGCCATCAATGTCGCCGCCGACACCACCACCGACAGGTGGTAATTCAAAACGGTATTTATTTAGTTTGCAAGTCATGAGTATATTCTAATTTCAAATTTTATAGTCGTCGCAGGGGCCGAGGGCAAGGCAGGGGCCGGGGCCAGGGCCAGTGCGGGGGCCAGAACCAAGGCCCATCCCAGGGCGGGGACCAGGTTTATCCTGGCAAGACTGTGCATTGGTACAAAAATGTGGGTACAATTAATTATTATTATAATAATTAAATAAATAAATAATAATTATTAGCGATATTATATTTTTCCCTTAGTTTTAGAATATAGAATATATTCTAAAGATTGATGTGAACTATCACTACAAAACACTGATTCAAAAAAATACATTATCAAATTTAATAGGATTTTCCCAATCTACTTTTATGGTAAAATTGTCATATTATTATTCCAATTATTTGTGGTATATACAACGCTTTATTTTTAGATTTTAGATTGCATTCTGCTTCTCTCAAATAAAAATTTAACATTTTCGACGAAAAAATCGAGGTAAAAAATGAATAAATGAGTATTTTTGAAATGACAAATAAACACAAATACGACTTAAATATTTATTTAGCAACCGGTGCTGTATTAGTATTTACTGTAAAATGTTGCTATTATTCCATAAGCTTTGCTATCTGTCTAAAATGTGGTTTATCTACAATTATTAGTATCCGGTATGTTGTTTGAAATTTTATTATTATTATTAAAAATTATTATTATTATTATTATACGTACTAAAGCGTGACAGTGTTGTCCTTTTCTAATTCGAGTAGAAAACATACATATGGTGCGTGTAGCTAACCGAGTAGAAAACGTAACGTGAGCAAAAAACAACAACATTACTTTATTCTAAAGGCTTGGTTATGTTGTCGATTGACAATATTTTTGCGATTAAGGGGGCTATCAAGTAGGAATCATCTTTTAAATTTTGACATTTTTGACGTTTTGGATAAATTTATTTTAGAAAAAGATAAAGAAAAAAATCACGGGGTCTGTCACAATTACCTTTCATTGGCTAGAATTTTTTCAGAGATTTATTGATTTTTTATCCGAAAAAATTCGACAACTGTCAGTCTGACGTTTCTTTTGTGTCATCGAAATTGATCGTCTAACAAAAGTGCTCGAAATTCTTTTATAATCGATCGTAATTTATTTAAAAGTGTTCAAGTTGAATGTGTTGTGTCTATTTTTTGTGTTTTGGTGAGTGCCGATGGAATTTTTAATAAATTTTGAGGGTCCAAGTGTGGCCAGTGACGGAAGCAGCGGCCAGAGACGGCGATACAATTTTCGATAAAATGCACACTATCCGATCTAAAATCGGTAGGTGGTGGTTTGTGAAACGTTGTTCAAGACTCGAAAGCCCTCATATAAACGAAATTTCGCCAAAAAATGTGAAATTTGAGGTAACCTGTCAGGTGAGAAAAATTTCTCTGAAAAATCCAGAGACGTGGTGATTTTAGTTGAGAACTGTCTCAGTCTGACGTTTTTTTCGTCATCGAAATTTTTTGTGTAATAAACTGCAACAATCGGTCGTGATTTATTTAAAAGTGATCAAGTTGAATGTGTTGTGTCTATTTTTTCCATTTTTTCAATTTTTAACAAATTGTGTGGGTTTCAGTGACGGATATCGATATCGACATATTTGTGTCTAAAATCAGTTTATCTACACAAGAAATGATGGAGATAATGCATGAACATACGCCAAAAACAGTGTTAAAGGGTCCCGAATGATTTAAAAGGACTAAAAGTGCATTACTGTGATATTTTTTATAAGTGATTATTCCAAATTTGTGAATTTTGCGTTGTTAATAGTGAATAATGCATAACCTCAAAAATTCATACTTACTAATTCTCCAAGAGGTAGGTTGAAGCCCCAACAGCCCCCTAACTAATGAATTTGTCGAAATAAATGTACAAATTACAAGATTAGATACGAAGAATTCCGAAAGAAGAAGATCAATTTTTTTAATGTGATATTTTGAGCTCAATGATTTTACAACTGGAAATGGACAAGTGCTTCAGCATAAAGTGTCACTGGAAACCCAAAAGCTTTGAAAAATCTTAGGAATTTTGAACTATATCAGTTGGCGATTCTGTTAGTTTGATTGTTTGACAGTTGATGTCAACAATGAAATAAAAATATTGTGAAAAACGATCATCTACGAATTAAAAGTGTGAAGTCGTGTAATTACTGATTATTTATTGTGATTTTGTGAAACCGATAAGTGTTTTTTCTGTGTTTTTCGGGTTCTGTGCATGTGGGCATGTTTAAAAAGTTTTTTACGGTGAATTTTAAATAAGTAAGTGCTTAAGCACAGAGTATGGTTTGAAGTGAAAACTATTTCTAAAGTTGGACTATTTACTGCCTGTCAAGATTTGSTTGAGGAAAAAATTGTTTTTGTACAAACAGATGGAAATTAAAATGAAGATTCTATTTTCATATCGAGGACGTAAATAAAGGCAAGTGGTACACCAACGTTGGAACAAAAACTGTTTGAAAATCATTCAAAACGGCTTAGAATGATGGATCATGTAGCAAAAGGTATGAAAAACAATCATTTCGAATTGTATCACTCAATCTTTTTCTTTTTAAGGTTTTGCATTGTACTTGAAAATTATGTTTATGTAACAAGAGGCCTTTTATATTCAGAAGAATTGAAAAAAAGATAATGCAATGGGAATAAAAGGAAATGGAATGACTGTGACAAACACTACCCTATGATTTAAGAGTGCAAATTAATTACTGATTACTACTCATGGTGAACTTTTTATTCTTTTAGGAAGGTTAGTGTTATTAAAACAAATAGAATACAAGTAATAGTGAATGTTTTACTACTCATGGTGAACTTTTTATTCTTTTAGGAAGGTTAGTGTTATTAAAACAAATAGAATACAAGTAATAGTGAATGTTTTAGGTTTCACAAATTGTATGTGAAGTCATTGAATTAGTGTTTCAAAGTACGTTTGCAAAAATTAAACTTTTTTTATTTAAAAGAGGACAAAACACGATGAAATGTTGGTGATAAATAATTAGTAATGAATTAAAAGGACGCGAGRAGGATTTATGATCGAGAAATTGTTGTGTTTCTGCAACAAGATGGAAAAGTGTTTTTAAGAATTTTTAATTTTTTTTCGAAAATTCCATACACACATAGATAGTGTAAGTATTTAAAGAGCAAATTTTTTGTAAATTACAGATCATGTGGATAATATTTGACAGTTGATATCAACAAAGCAATGCTACAGGAACCAAATATTGTGACAAACAATTTTAAAATACAAAGGAGTTGTTGTGACTGATTATTGTAAAAGGGGCAGGTGTTTTTTCTATATTTAATACACTTTATGTAAGAGTGCAGTAATGAACAGTGAATTTCGTCCACTCTTTTTGCGTGAATTATATAGTCTATGCTTTTTTATCATGATAACTGACATTTAAATACGTGCTGTTAAATTTTTATTCATTTTGGACCAGATTTTCAATCATACTTGATACCATACTTCAAGCAATGTAAAACAAAGCACAGATAAAAAATAGCAAGGAACATCGAACATTCTATTAATATGATAAACGTTAAACAAAATCAAGGTTAAAAAAAATCTAAAGACTAATTTACACTTTTAGTCTGTCATGGAAATTGGACCGACAAAATTCACTGTTTGTTACTGTACGCCTCAGAATGTTTCTTTTTTTGTGATTTAAGTAAGTGCAAACATAGATTATCGTTTAAAGTTTATAGTATTTTATTTATTATAAATTTATTTATAATTATTTATAATATTTAGCATAAATATGAAAAAAATTGGGAAATTTTAATTGTCAGTATGTAAAGTTTAATTTGGTGATAAAATTGTGTTTGTACAAACAAGTAGAATCGTATATGTACTTCTATTAAGGACGTCTATTCAAGTATTTATAGAAATTTAGTTTATACCTTAGAAATGATTATGTTGTAAATTTTAGTTGTGTGATTGATTATTTAGTCAGTTAAACATCYACATAAGATGTAGTTTAAATTTGATAGTTATTCAAAAGATTCTAGAAAGATGAGTCAGGTGAAAATTCTGCTTTTAAATGATTGTATTATGTTTATTTTTAAATAATTGTATTTTATGTCTTTTTTAAATTGTGTTTTTTTTTTAAATAATATGCTTTGTAATAACTATAAATTAATTTTTTAAGTATAGAAAGTAAATTTTGCAAACAATGGGATGTAGAATTATCGAGTAGTGAGTGTAGTCTTAATAAATGTATATGTTAAATGTAATATAATAAGATGTGCTGTAAAAATATAAGAATTGTACAATTCAATTTTAACATATATTTTTTTAACTTTTTTTTCATGATCCTTGTATCTTACCTTACTTAAAAATTTTCTCTGGAGCGCGAGTTCTGGCGCACCTGTATAACATTTTTTTTATTTACTCAATTAATTCAACAATCATACATTTAAACAGTTTAAAAACATTTTGTCCATTAAAAATCAACCACTTTTATGCATCCGCTACAATTTGCTTCTTCCGACCACTATACACTATTTGGAAGGATACTTTTAATATATGGATATATGGAAATGTCTTTAATTCCATTATATTTAGTAGTCCTATTTGTTCTGATCGATCTCTTTAATTATCAACAAACATTGAATATGATTTTATAAAATTTTACAACCATTTACTTCTAATTAAAAAACCATTTAATTTTTTATTGTTCTGCTATAAAATTCTCATATTTTGGATTTCTATATATTAAACATTCTTTCATTCTTTTGAATAATTAAAAAAAACATTAATATTAGAATAAAATTAATATTAAAACATTAATTAATAGCAAGTAACTTCTATTATAATTATAAATTCAGCTAAAGACACATTTTATTTTATTATCACACATTCGCACATTTAACATTTCGATTGCATGAGATGTAAATACTAATTGGACTGTCCAATACCATCAAGCCATCTTAAAAATATTTGGTGTTTGTGTATTTTGTACAGGTGAGTCGTTTGTGTTAATTCTTATTTATTGAATAATTATTAATAATTATTTTATAAAAACAAGTTTAAATATATTATTATATTATTCCTATGATGTAAGTTGAATTTTTAACATTAACTTGACTGAATTTTTTAAATACTTTCCATATAGGTTAGAACTGTTAAAAATAATGTTTGTATCTGCACATTTTATTGTAACTGTTAGGTGATTAATTAAAAATAAATAATGATAAATAATATCGATTATTACAATTGATAATATTATTTTACAAAGAAAATAAAATTTTACATAATTTTACATTTTACATAATTTTTATTATTAGCGCCACGTCATTCATAATGCGTTCGTCAATGCCACTTCTTTAATAATTTATTTGAATTAGATTAACTATTAAAGAAATTAAAATTATAATAAATTTTAGTCTTAAAAATACATTAAACTTAAAATTTTTCTTTTCTCTTTTGAAATAAATTGAATATTTTATTTTAACTTTCATAAATGCATTTAACTGATTGTAGAATGGTACTTTTATGTTTTGTTGTAATCTTTTTTTTCTGGTCGTTTTGTATTTTCGAAAATGCCACGAAAAAGTCGCTCACGCCTAACACGAAGAAAAGGAACCGACTGTCGGGGCCAACGTCGTTCCAAAAAATTGGGCACTGTGGCAACCGATAAAATTGAGGAAAGTAATAGGCCTGCTGGAGACGAACAGGTAAGAGTGTTACTTAATTCTTAATTCTAATTTGTTAGAAATTATAAAAAAATTGCCTTAATTGTGTTATCAATCTTTGTTAATGTTTTTGTTTGTAAACAGGTCATTGATCAGTTGAACGAACCATTCCCTGAAGTCGGAGAAGTGGTTCAACACTTAAGGGAATCAACTGATGACAATGATCCTGTTGTCAACGGTGCTACAGTGAACTCCGAAGAGGTCGTCGTTCCAGCAGACGTGTCCAGCTTTGAGGAACCTTTCAAACATGTGAATCTCCAACCTTGTGTAGTTGTGATGGTGAATTCACAGAACTTGGTTTCTTCATCTGATGATGACAGCGACGACGACCGCGAGGTGTACAATTACCCCTCGCATCCAAACCATGGGATGAAACGCTTGAGAAGCGATTCACCTCTCATGGTCGATGAGTGTTTACCACCAAAAAGACAAAAAATCGATGGTAAAAAAAGTGTTGACGATGAAAATTTAGATGCTATTGTTTTAGCTTCGCCGACGTTGACACATCATGTGCCCGAGGAATGATTTGACATTGAAGAAGAGAATCCTCGTCCGGAATGTCTATGTCATCGAGCACGAAAATCAACTGATTTGTGTCCCCTTCATGAAGTCGACTTGACGACAATTCATAATGACAACACAGATCTTGGAGTTTCTTTAGATCTTTCGTTAATTCTGACGCCAGAACTCATGAAAGAACTCCAAAACCCGTTGCAAAACGAGGAATATGAAGATCCCGTTGACAATGAATTTGCGGACGTTGAAGCGATCGTCATGGTCAATCCGAATGCGGAAAATGAACACGATCGACAAGCTGACGTTCTCGATCAACGAGACATGGAATTCGAAATTGAACGAATTCGCAATCGGGAAGTTCAAATTGTCAGTTACCTTGAGGCAACTCACAGAAACAACGTTCCCATTCATTCCACCGGAATGATGAATCGAGTTTGTCAACATTGCAGAGCTCGATATTTTCTCAAAGAAATGACAACGAGAGAAGGTTATAGTAAGTGTTGTAATGCTGGAAAAGTCCAACTGCCACCGTTGGGACAACATCCAGACGAATTGAGGCAACTTTTTACTGGTCAACATCCTCTTTCACACGAGTTTGTAAAAAAAATTCTTACTTACAACAACAGTTTTCAATTTGTAAGTATTGAATCAAATTTACGTGATATTCCTGGTCATGGCATGTATGTTTATGCAATCCAAGGTCGAATTTATCACCATTTTACAAACATTAATGTAAATCGGGCTAATATGAAATGTGGACCACTGTATTTTTTAGATCCCGAACAGGCAGTTGAACAACGAGTTGGCAACACTAGGCGTCAAAGATTGAACGTGGCGCTAATTGAGTTGATCACACAACAACTGCAGCAGGTTAATCCATTTGCTTACGTGTATCGTCATTTGCATGATGTCTACGAAGAGCAAAGAGTTCAAATGGGTGATGCACTACCTTCAGTGTGTCTCGAATTTGTCGAACAACATCGTAATCGAAACAATCGCGAGCATGATCCACCTGCAATCAATGAAGTGGCGATTGTTACAAATTACGATGAAAACAATCCGCCAAATCCACGGATGAGAGTTTTCTTGAGAAATCACGATGATGGACTGAGAGAATTTGATTCAACAAGCGAATTCTGTGATCCATTATCGTATCCTTTGCTTTTTCCCAGAGAAGATTTGGGCTGGCACACCAATATTCCATTGGTGAACCAAAGAGGAGGAGCCAGACGAGCACGAGAACGTGTTTCAATATGCGATTTCTACGCATAACGTCTTTCTTATCGTGCAACTAATGAATTTCAAATTTTAGAGCATGGCGGAAAACTGATGCAACAGTTTATTGTCGGTGCCTATTTGAAAATTGAAGCAAACCGCATCAGCTATTTCGTTCACAATCAGGACCTCTTGAGAACGGAAGAGTATTACGGTTTGGTCGATTATTTGCATAATCGTGCCGAACGGGACAACGTCCCGTTTGGCAGAATGATCATCTTGCCGTCGACATTTGAGATGTCTTCAAGAAATCAAATGCAAAGATTTCAGGATGCGATGGCCGTGGTTTCCGAGATGGGTTGTCCGTCATTTTTCATCACAATGACATGCAATCCAAAATGGCCGGAAATTGTTGAAAATCTGCTGGATGGCCAAGAGGCCATCAACCATCCTCTTTTGGTCGCCAGAATTTTCAAAATGAAACTTGACGATTTGATTGTAGATTTGACTGAACGTCACGTCATGGGCGTGTGCATTTCGTTCCTCTACGTTATCGAGTTTCAAAAACGGGGTCTTCCACACGCACACATTCTCATCACGTTGCGTAACGAAGACAAACCGCTCGATCCTTTCAGAATCGATCAACTGGTTTGTGCTGAATTGCCTGATTCAGAAATAGAACCAGAATTGTACCTCTTGGTTGGGAAACACATGGTGCATGGCCCCTGTGGTCAACACGATCCAACCGAGGTTTGCATGGTAAACGGAGAGTGCATCAAAAAGTTCCCAAAGTAAGTTTCTAATAATTATTATAGATAAAAAAAAAATTACAGTTTAATTAATTAACATTAATTTACTAACATATTTTAAATGTGAGTAAAATTTGTAATTTGTATTACTTTTTAATATAAACATTCTTAAATCTCACATAATGATTTTTTTTAGGTATTGGTTCAACAATACTACAATCCGGAACGGCAGAGTTTACTATCGTCGTCGGCGTCTAAATGGTCGAACAATTCAAATTCGACGCAACAACCATCATTACGTTGTAGATAGCCGATTTGTGGTACCGTATAATCCATACTTGCTTCTCAAGTATCGGACGCACATCAACATTGAAGCGTGCACTTCTACAGGTACCGTAAAATATTTGTATAAATATTTTTTTAAGGGTCCCGATCAAGGCGTATTTCGCATTGTCGAAAATCGAAACGCTGAAAACGATGGGGGGGAACAACTTGAAATGCGCTATGACGAAATTCGGTCGTACCTAAATGGCAGGTACATGACACCACCCGAAGCAAGTTGGCGCATTTTGAAATTTCCAATGCACACGAATTCTCATCACGTGTACAGATTGGCAATTCACCTTCCGGGACGACAAAGAGTCGTTTTCAGACGAGGTGAAGAACAAGCGGTTGTCAACAGAGGACCTGTAAACACGGAGTTGACAGGATGGTTTGAATTGAACCGTGACAACCCTCAAGCGAGACAATTTTTGTATCGTGAGATTCCATATCATTTTGTTTGGAACAAGAGTCACAAACGATGGACTCCACGTCAAAGACTCATGGGCAAGATAATCTCTCGAATGTACAATGTCTCCGTACGAAACGGAGAATTGTACTATTTGAGGGTTCTCTTGCTTAGAGTTCGTGGCGCAACATCGTTTGAATCATTACGAATTGTTAATGGTGTGGTTTGTGATTCATTTCAGGAGGCGTGTCGACAACTCAATTTGCTTGCCGAAGATCGTGAGTGGATACGATGTTTGACCGAAGCAAGCGAAAAAGACATGCCCAAACAGATGCGTCAAATGTTTGCATACATTTTGTTGTTTTGCCAAGTTGACGATCCAGTCCAGTTGTGGAACGATTTCAAACGTTTCATGATGGAAGATTTCACACGCCGAGACCGAATGGAAGAGCGCGAAGCTGAAATCAGAGCGCTTCAAAAAATCCAATTCATTTTGATGATAAACGGTCGACGTTTGTCACAATTCGGTCTTGAGGATCCACCAGAATTCAGACCAAATCTGGTAGAGGACGATATCGACCAAGTTCGTGAAAGAGAGATCGGTGAAACGATGCTCGAACGATTGAATGTCGATCAACGCAACGTCTTTGATGTAGTGATGAGGGCAATTGAAAACAACAATGAAGCCCGTCGCTACTTTTTCGTCAGCGGTGCAGCAGGAACAGGAAAAACTTTTCTGTACAATACGCTGATCACAGTTTTGAACGGACGTGGAGAGAAAGTTGTTGCCATTGCTTGGACTGGCATTGCAGCAGCCCTTCTTAAACACGGAAGAACTGTCCACAATCGTTTTAAACTTCCCGTTCCCATCGTCGAAAATTCAACATCAATGTTGACAGCACGATGTGAAGAAACGAGATTCATTCGTGAGGCAAAACTCATCATTTGGGATGAAATCACGACGACAACACGAAACGCATTTGAATTGGTCGATCGAACACTCAAAGACATTTGTCAAAATGATCGACCTTTTGGAGGAAAATGCGTTATTCTCGGAGGAGATTTCAAGCAATGTCTTCCTGTCGTTCCAGACGGCGATCGAGCAACCATCGTTGCACATTGCATCAAATCGAGCATTCTTTGGCGTCTGTTTGAAAACATTCAGTTGAACATCAACATGAGAGTACGACCAGACGAAATTGCCGCATGTTAATTTCGATAATGTCATTTTTGAAAATGAACCACCTCAGTTTCGACGTGACTTGATCGAAATTCCAAGACGATGCATCGTCAACAATTTGAACGAATTGATTGATCGAGTTTTTGGCCACCAACCATTTCATGCTGAAAACATTCCGATCAACACAGCAATTCTGACTCCGTTCAATGCAGATTGTCACCGCATCAACGCTTCGATTTTGGAAAGAATCGAAGGTGCGGTACGAACGTATCAAAGTGTTGACACTGTTATCACTGACGATGAAGCGGAGGCTGCAAATTATCCTGAAGAATTTTTGAATTCTCTTACACCTCCATCGTTTCCACAGCACGAACTCACACTCAAAGTGGGAACAATTGTCATGCTGTTGCGAAATCTCAACGTCAAAGCCAATCTTTGCAATGGGACACGTCTCATGGTTCGAGATTTGGGCCAACATCACATCGAAGCCGAAATCATCAATTTCGATGGACGATTGTCGGGTAAGAGGATGTTACTGCCACAAATTGATTTTGTTTCAGGCAATAGTCCTCTTCCTTTCGTCATGCGAAGAAGACAGTTTCCACTTCGACTGTCCTACTCTATGACAATCAACAAATCACAAGGTCAAACATTTGATTCTGTTGGAATCTACTTGCCCAGACCTGTGTTTACGCACGGACAACTGTACGTGGCTTTTTCACGAGCACGAACTGCAGAAAACATTTCAGTATGTTTGGAAAGTTCGTCAAGACAAGGTATTTCCAGAACTAATAACCAACAGTTATTAGCTTTTACTAGAAATACAGTATTCGTTGAAATACTTTGATTATATTATCGACTTTTTTATTAAGTCGAAATAATATCACTGTACATTTTTACGTATACTTCGTATTTATGATTCTATTTTTAAATCATTCAACTTACAGAAAGCGTGAATTCGCTTGCGACTTACTCTTAGAGTATGCGCTAAATAATGTGTGCATCATACTTCTAGAGTACTTCTAGAGAGTATGCGCAGCATTAATAATGTGTGCATCATACTTTTACAGTATGCGCCGCATTATATTATTTTTTCCGCATTTTCATTTGAAACTACGGATTACTATTTCATATACTAAAACATTATCTACAACAATAAAAAAACACACACAAATACTAAAACTATTAAAAACAAAAATCAGTCTATAAATTATTCAAACTAAAACTATTGTTTATTGGAAAGACTGAATCTCTAAAAAAAAACGGTAAAACACATACTTAAATTTTGGATAAAATAATTTTAATGTTTTACTTCAGTTTAAAATTATCACAAGGCTTAATCAACTGACAAAATCTTAAACAGAATAATCATAAATAATCAACAATCTCAAAAAAACGCTGATGATTGGCAGAAGTAAAGTTTCATAAATTTCATTATTAGTTAAATTGCAATTTTATTGTAGTCGGCTTTTTTAAAGAAATTTTTTTTGTTGATAATCTTTCTAATTATGGATAAGTTTGAAACAATTTTTTGAACTGAAAACATGAAAAACCCACTAATTGCAAGTAGTAATTTGGAGCGATCATTTAATTTTGTAATAAACATGCTGCAACAGGTTTGCTGATTTAATGAAAATTTATTAAATAATATTTCTGATAATTTCTTTCAGATATTTCTTCTTCACCACGTAACTATGTTAGAAAATCCACTGCTTTAGCACTTATATCTACAAATAAATGTTTGGAAGCAAATACAAAAACGTACAATTCAGTTTTATCTTATATTAATTTGATTAAAACTTTGTTTTAGATTCAAGTTTCTCTTTGTAACATTTCTTAGAGTTTTGAAGCGAGACTATTTTTAATTTAAATCATTAAAATATAAAAACGTAGTCATATGTTGAATCAAAAATTTTGATGTAACTTTTAAAAGTTATTTTTTGATTTTCTCAATTATCTGCTTTTATCTCTTCAGAAATTCAGGATGGCAAACATTATTCCAATTTATATCAAGGAAATTCTGTACTTTTCTTTTCATCATGTAAAAAAATAACTTCATATAAAAAAAGGAATAAATAAAAAATAATACTTCAAATTGTTAGTACTGATTATGTTTTAGATTAATTTTTAAAGTTTATCTATATATTTAATTTGACATCATTCTGAATTGAAAGAACAACCAAAGCAACACATACTGTAATAGTTACAAAATTTGATGTTAAATACGATGTTCGACGACTTGATAACAACTGAAAAATAATCATATACAATAAAAGGTACGACAATAATTTTACTTTTAATAAGTCTAATATTAATTTCGTTTTAGATTAGTTTATTATATTTATCAGAGTACATATGAATCTGTACTAAACACGCACTAACGCATACAAATTTTGAAAGGTATCAAAAAGCTGAGAGAGGGTAAGTGAATAACGAAGTAAAAAGTAAAATAAAAAAGTCTAAGAAAACATATACATTTTCTCTAGCAGAAAGACGAATTACATTGCAAATTATATTACATATACAAAAAGAACATAATTTACAACAGTTAACAAAAATACATTTTAAGGTTAGTCCGGTCAAAATAAACATTTTAAATAACTAAAATTCCGACAGAGCTAAATTTTGGTGGAGATATTGAGTACACCATTAGGAATAAAGTGTCAAAAGTCCCCATCGATCCCATGTGTGCTAAAAAAGTTATTCGGGGTCAAAGGTCGAAATTTGACGTTTTTTAGATTTTTTCGAAAACGGTAAGTTTTATCAAAAAAGTAGCCCAGACAAAAAATATAGATCTTGAAATTATCTACAAAATGGTCCTTATACTTTTTTTCTAACAATCACCATTCCTGAGATATCGCGATTCTAAAAGTTGAAGGAGTCACGTTCTACATGGTATGCACATACAGAGTGCGTCAGAACTCCCGCTTCAAAGACAAATGCCATGTAGGGTAAGGTACCACAAACATAGAAAAAA